CTACCTCTTCAATTTATTCTTCCTGCGATAAACTGTAAAATGCAAGTACTCGTTGCATTTTTTTCACATTTATATTTAGATCGAGTTGGCCGTCGTAATAATATTTCAATGCTCCCTATTTTTTTATATCACACATCACATGAAGCTGACTGCATTAGATCGCGTAGAATAGGATATTTTGTCATGAGACCGTGACGCGCCGTTCAACATTCGAGTCCGAAGTTAGGGTAAACTGCCCAGTAGATGGACGCCTAAGAGAACCGCCCAGTAGATGGACGTTTGTTTTTTAGCAATTAAAAAAAAAATTGATCGAAAAGAAATCGTCACTCAGGGGTTAAGAATTACAACAGTTGATGAAAATTCAAAGCAACAATTCACATTTCAGTATTTTTTTGCGTAATTTCCTATCCCAAAGTAGCTCGTCCATCTATAGGGCAGTGTCCATCTACTGGCTAGCTTACCCTACCGAATGACAAATACTATTTTTTGTCATATAGACATGTCAAAAGCGAGATGCCCCACCGGGAAGGAGAGGAGGAGTGCGATTGTAGGGGAGAGAGCTTTACTCCCCGGTCCAGGGGTGAAACCCCCCCCCCCCCCCCCACCTCCCCCGATATTGTGGAAAGACCAAACATCAGAAGAAAAAAAATAACGAATGAAAATTTGCTGAAAAAATGATATCCCCCCAAAAAAGTCGTCCTGAATCAAGTCGAAAAATCGGTCTGAATCAAGTTGAACTGAATCATCTCGAGCATTGACTTATTTCATGTCGAATTGACGGCATGAGTCAAGTCGGGCACGGTCAGATGCAAACCGACATATCGGTCTGATTCAAGGCAATTTTTCGGTTTCATTCAAGCCGATTTTTCGGTTTAATTCAAGTTGATTTTTTCGCTTGATTCAAGTCGATTTTTCGGCTTAATTCAAGTCGATTTTTCGGATTGAAATTCGTTTAAAAAACTAGTGGAAACTGTGCATTTCAGTTCGATTATTCCATGAAAATTTATTGAAATAAAAAAAATTCAGGTGAATATAGTCTGTAATTTTGAATAAATTGAAATTTTTTTGTAATTTGGTACTGCATAGCCATTGTCTGTTCAATAATTCAAATTAAGTGAGGAATTCTCTTGTTTTTCTCTCAAAAATCTGGAAATTAATTGATTTTTCAGCCATAATTATTAACAACTTGTCAGTTGCATACCATGTCGACCATATAAAATAGCAGTCGAATGGTGCAAATTTCTATTGGCTGAAATTTGGATGAGAAAAATTCTCTGTGAAATTTGAAATTTCATAATTTTTTTCTCGTGAATGGAATTTTAATGTCATTTTCATGAAAAGAACCATTGAACCCTCCATGAAATTTAGATTTTTTTCTAACAGCGTATCTTTCCGACTTGGACCAAGTGATGATTTGACTAGAATCAAGCCGAAAAATTGGTTTGACTCATGCTGAAAAATCGACTTGAATCAAGCCGACGTTGACTTGAATCAGTGCTTTTCTTTTCGGTGAATTCGATGAATCAGTGAATTCAATTTAAAATACATCATAGAAATTCCATTCGGACGCAAATTGTTAATTTATTATATTCTGAAATATATTGACGTAAGCAATTTTCCACTTGTTTTTATTTTCAAATATCATGAAAGAAATTTTCCACTTATTTTTATATTGTTCTAAACTTGACTTATTACAAAATCAAAGGAGGAATATGGATCATGTCATTCCGAAAAAAAACAAAATATTAGAAATCAATAGGCCACTTTCCTAGCGTCGAAAAATAATTGGAGTAATTGATCCACCAATCTTGACTTTGTAACGAGAACTTCTCTATCCCAAAATTATCTATTCCCATTAAAATATTCTGCCATTGTGAAAAAAGGATTATCAAATGTAAATAAATTGTTGATGTATTATTTCAAGCATTTTTCTGCATTACATTCGCTTTCTTATTCCTCGAACCTATTATCCGATTAATTATCTCAATATTACGCTGTGTCACGTATGAAAAATTATTAGGATTATCTGTGGGTAGAAGCTCATAGCAAAGTGTACGAAGACAACCCAAATCAAGTGATAATCCGTCAAAATACTCATTGTCAGGTGAACCAATAGATGATCTGCGACAGCATGCTTATCAATTTGCAATGTTCTCCATGAAAGTACATCGTTCGTCGCAGGTCGAGTAGTTGATCGATGAGATCATGTCGTCGTTCCAGTTTACTGACGTTGGGGGAATGAAGAGAAGACTGATTAAATTCATGCTTTTCGGGATGAAAGGGGTAAGTATCCAATTATGACGAGAGATAGAGCACAATGCCGAATAACCAAATGGATGTATTTTTATATGAACTATATTTCTAGTTGAAAGAATTTTTCTCTATCTCGCCCCCCACCCACTTAGGTTCGATATCTCTTCAACTGCGAGAGATAGGAAAAAAAGTTAATAATGTCTTTTTGCGTAAGGAACATCTTTTATTCGATAACATCCCACTTTCAATATTTAACTTATTTTAAATAAATAAACAGCATGTGTTTTTGCAAAAACGTTCATTGAATTCATGACCAGGGGGCCTATTCTCGAAATATTTCCGTGCACGGAAGTGGCTTCGTAGACGAATTGCGTATAGGAATCATATAGGCGTTCCGTCAACGGAGTCGATTCCGCGCACGGACATATTTTGAGAATAGGCCCCCAGCACCCTCGACAATATAGAGTCCGATTATGATATTATCTGGAGATGTCACTGGATACAGAAATGTCCCTGGCATTTTGGCTATATTAATGAAACTTTCATCAATACGTATATTAATTTTTCAAATTTTAGAAATTTTTCAAATAATATATTTCCATACGAGTGCGTAAAATACTATTTTGTCGCTCTGTGAAACCTTGCTTCACGCACACTGCGCGTGCGAAAACGCCACTTACCATCATCATGACAAAACTATTCTTCGTGTTACGGCCCTGAGCGCATCCGAAACGGCGCGACTAAAATTTTGATATTCATTCTCTCGGAAATGAAATAACGAGCAATAAAATGTAAACCACGAAAAATATGAGATACTGGAGCCGACAATCGAAGCGAGAATGTGGGCCTGAAGACAAACGAGCGATAGCAAGTGAGTCAATAACACGCAGAAACATTAACTCGAATATGAGACAGAATTTTTAGAAAATAGTGGACAGTAATCACGTCCATAAATGAAAAATCGACATGACGATCAAATAACACCACTAATAACACCGCAGAAAGATTTATTAGGGTAATAAAAAGGGGTAATTCAAAACTGACAGACCGACCGAATTGTAAAGAGATGACCAAAAGGAAGGAGGTCCGAATCTCCTTTATAAGGCGTGGATAAGACAAATTGGAGCATTACGTCGTCAATCTGATCCAACGCAGTTGCTGCCCAAGTTTTACTTCAACTAAAAAACCCAAAAAGTCAGTACGAAAATCTCTTCAAGAATTTCTGCCAGTATATTACCCTTAGAACCAAACCCCCTGGAGCTGAGCGAGCCATCTACATCTCAACATCGCTATTTCTTGGGGCCTTCCAGATCCAGCCAATCTACAACAACCTGTCTCCAACTGAATCTCTAATTATCCAAATAATCAATCGTAAGTCAACGATCCTCATTTCCTCTGATAATTATGTAATTGAATACCTTGATTCTCTTGGGACTAATTCTTCTTGAATGAAACCTACACTTTTATTCCTATTTTCTCTCTTGTAGATACTCTTCGACGCATCGGTACACTTCTGTTTTATCGCGGCAAAATGTTCCGGAATATGTAATTAAATTGTATAAGTCACGACCGTGACTAAGTGACGTATCTCGCTCTCATTTTCCTATTGTGATAGCCCTTCAAATATTGATAGTGTCCGTAACATTCGTCACCAGATCGAACAAAATTTTTCTGACGAAAATAATTGCATTCATATTCACCAAAAAACTTGTCTTCGCTCTGGTGATGAACACTACTATGATATTGCCGACGACTTCTAAGATGATGGTTCAAAATGATCAAAGCGCGACTAATAGTATTTTTCGTCACGATGATCGTGAGTGGCTTTTTAGCACTTTGTCAAATTGCAAAGATAAAGATAACTATATTTCAAAGCTAAAATCATTCGATTCACTTCAATACATTTTTAGATTTTTCCTAAAATCAGTTTCCTGATGATGTTTTCCAAATTGATTCAATCATGGTTTCAAATTTTTTCCTAAGATCGTTTCAACCAAGATCAAAGATGGCATGGATAACATCATTCGTTCGTTTAATTCAACGAAGAACTGAACTATTACCACGATTCGTGATAATAGTTGAAGAGCCTCATTGACAGCAATTAAATCCTTCTGTCAGTATACTACCGTCATGGACCCGATTTCTGCCCCGTAAGGACTTCAGGTTGATAGGAGACTCGATAAACATTATTTTTCATTGAAAACTCGACATGTAGCAAAGTTAAATGCGTAATTTAATTGTCCATCTTAATTTTAAGGCTTTCGCGACCATGATTAGTGATATCATTGGCTTCCGGATGAATGCCGCGTTTGGTTTCAGCGTTGCGTCAACGTTTCCCAACCATTGCAGTTGCATCTTCAAGGCTATGAGGCTCCGATTCTGGGCTCCAATGTCTGGGGGAAGGGGGGCGGGGGGTAATACTTATACACCCTTCCCTGCGATGATGAGGGGTGTTAGAGGGGGGTGGGGGGGGTGTAGCCAATCATTTGTAAATTGATCAGTTGGTCAATTCAAAAACTGGGAGGACGGTTTTCGAAATATCCTTGAGATTTGGCCAACATTCTTGCTTGATCACACTGGATAGTATGTCCAAAGTCCATTCAGTGTTCAGCCAGGGCAGACTGTTCTATCCGACCTTATTTGGAACACCACTGGTGCTTCTTCATCCGAGATGAATAAATTTATTAGTTTCTACCTGATGTTCCTGTTACCCAATCGTAATAATTCGTAACACAAGGGAATTTTTTTTAGCTTGCTCCATATATTTCTCCTCCTCAAGTTTTACATCGAATCTTATACATTTGACCTTAATTCTAACTACGTCTCAACTATCAAGTGAAAATTACGCACACATAACTACTATCCTTCAACTAACCAATCTATACGAGAGATTAATCAGAAAAACTCGAAAGGCCGTCGAAACAATGTTGATAGTTTACAACAAAAAAATTAATCATTGAGCCTAAATAATAAGTGATACCATCCGTTCATTGACGAACGAAAAAAAAATATTATGCCGCATCAGTTGAATTGACGCAATGTTGGCGCAATTTTTCTCCATACAAAAACGATGATTGCGATGAGTAATCGATTATTCCATTCAGAAAATCATAAAGCATCCAGACCCAAACTTCAACAACCATCAGACACCTGAGAAATCAACAAGATAAATCTCAAAAATGCAAAATCTACCAAACTTTGGCGGCAGCTTCTCGTCTAATCAACACATCCTTGCTTCGTTGTTTCATACGTTCGATGAATGTATCTTTTCCATGCAGCCGATGTCCTCCCTCGTGGCGCTCAGCTCTCTACCAACATATTGTTTTCTCACATTAGACTCATTTCATCGTCCACTCACCACCACCAAAATAAGGTACCCCCGCAATCATCGTAAGCTTTCAACGAAATATGGTATCTTTCGAAAAAAAATATTTCTCGGGTGATTGAAAAATCTAACCCACCTTGTTGTCAGCCCCTTGGCCCTCGTTATTTCCCCATCTCTCGTAGTCATCATCATCCCTCTCCTCCCCCTCACTCAATGGTCCGTCGTGCCTCTTGGGTGGTGGCGCTGGTTGCTGATTCTCAGCATTACCATTGCCCTCCAACATCTTATTAATCTTCTCCTTGGCCTCATCAACCTTCCTCATAGGATCAGGTGAATAACTTCTATCGCTGTACCTGTCCCTCGAGCTCCTACGATCCCTGAAGTCCCTCCTATCCCGGAAATCACGGAACCCGGGCTTAGTATTGTGGAAAAATCTATTACTTCCACGATTACCCCTCCCCCTATTCTGGTTCCTATTATTACTAAAACTCCCACGATTGCGATTGTTACCGAAACGATTGCTGTGCTGGTTGTTGTTATAGAAACGATTACGATTTTGAAAATTATTGGGACCATTACCACGATGACTCTGATTGCTAAATCCTTGAAAGCGTGGTTTGTAGTAAGTTCCACGATTGTTATAAGGTCTGAATTGACGTTTTCTGTAGTATCCCCTGTCATTGGACCGGCTACGACTTCTACTCCTAGAGTACGAACGAGACCTAGATCTTGATCGTGACCTGCTGTACGTTCCTGAGGGTGAACGACTGTATTTTCTCTCATAACTCCCAGATCTTCGATTAGAGTAGGAACGGGATCGAGATCTGCGCGGTGAGTGGGACCTGGAGCGACTTGAGCTCGACCTGGACCTCGACCTGCTTCTGGATCGTCTCACAGGTCTGTCCCTGCTCTTTCTGATAGGTCCTGGGCCCCTCGAGCCACGTCTCCTGGACCTGCTGTTGTCATCGTCACTTTCTGAGTCTGTTCGAGGCCCTTTCTGACCCTTCGTAGAGGGTGGACGTGGCCCTGGTGGCTCGGGGGGATGTGCCTGGCCAATTGGCTGAAACTTATTCCCCAAATGCGAGAATTTAGGCTGTGCAGGTGCCTGAGGCTGCACTGGGGCCTCTTTGTAGGATGTGTGGAATTTGTTGGGGGGCTGGGGTGTTGGGTACTTCAGTGGTGCCTGCTTCTGAGCTTCCTTAGGGGTTGATTGAGGGGCTGGAGGGGGTGGAACTGTCATTGGCTGGGAGACTCGCTTGTCTTGGATCTCTCGGTGCATTTGCTTGCGAATGTTGAAGGATTTATCCACAGAGTTGCGAGATTTTTCATCTATCCCGTTACTGTCTGACGATTCACCTCGTTTCTTGCTCTCTGGGTGGAGATCCTGCCATTTACCTACCACATGGGTCTCTTTCTGACGCGCTGCCTGAGCTGCTTTCCACTTGGCGTTCAGGGCTGCTGTGTCGAGGGCTGGCACCTTCGGCTCCGGGTGGACTGGCGATGGCTCATGATCGAAGAGATCATTCACTGGTTTACGTTGAACATCTGCGAATAGATCATGGTCAATGATACGAGTTTTGGGGGTGATTTTTAGGATGTACGATCATCTTTAACAGAAAACAATTTACAAAATTCGATTCTGTAGGTGAAGAAAAATTAAGTGGTTCTCAGCTGGATGAAGAAGAGAGGATACATACATGGGCATTCTCCATCAATTCTTCACGCCAATTTAAAATCAAGTGTTGATTATGAAATTCTGATTTTTAATCTGATGTCTGTTCATAAAAATTATTTTTATCTTATTGCTTTTCTTTTAAGGCCATAGATGAAGGGGTTTTCCCTCCATTGATCCACAAATAATGCAGTCTCCATGACTGGGAATTGTAAAATGCAATTTGTTCACAAGAATGATCATTACTTGTTTTTTTATGGAGATAGAGAAAAGGGAAAATCGTCTCAAATGATGCATAAATAGGGCGTTGTTTGAATTTCAATAAAGATCATTTTCAAATTTCTAATAAAGATCATCAACTGTTCAACATGAATTTCTATTTCTGATAATGATCTGGGGTGAAAACCCATCAGTGTTGAAACCCGTCCAGTGATCAGCATGATCACTAATTTACACATCTATCGGCAAATATAGGTACAATCATCAATTTTAAATTAAGTCAAATTTTGCGTTAGTTAACTGGTTAATATTACCCGACCATTTTTAAATTACTCATGGATCAAATATTCAATTTCCGAATTAATTTATCAATCACTAATTGATTTTGGAAGATTGACAATTCCATATCGTCAATTACTTCATTCATAATTGATTGAAAATTGAAATTATCAATTATTTTATTATTTTTGGAATTTCAATGACAATAAACAAGCCTTAAGTATTATAAGGTGCAACTTATCATAATATTACAAAAATTGTGATTGACACCGATCTCTATTTATCGTGGAACAAAAGCTGAATGCAGTGCGATCAGTCTTTTTTCTTAAAAATCGAATTTGATGTTCATGAATGCAATGAGATCCTATTCTCATATTCAAGTTATAGCATCACTTAAATTTTGAAGATTGAAATCAGAAATGAATTCTAAAAGAGAGTTAATATGAATCGAAACATTCTATTTGAGTTTATGCTCAATCGGCAGTCTAATATTATAATGACGTTTTCAATGTTAGGAAAAAAATAAAAATCTAAATTTAAAAAATCAGAAAAAATAAATAAAAATTCCATACCTAATATGAAAATTATCGTCAGTGTCAAACTTTTGTAATAAATAATTCAAGTATATTATTTAAAATAATAACTCAAGAATGAATTTGATGGATCAATAGTATCACAGTTAGAATTCATCGAAAGAATTACAAATAAATTTTTTCTTATCCTTTTTAAATTTACTTTTCCTCGTTACACTCAACTTGAGTTTTTTCCATCCTACTTTGATCACTTGTCTGTTGTAAAATCACATTCCTAAGTGAAGAATTGTTTACAAAAACAATGGTTACTACTATTCTTTCTTATTGAGATTAAAAAAATTAAAAATGATATCAAAAAATCCATGAATAGCGAACGGTTAATCAATTCCTCGCCAATTTGAAATCATCAACTGTTCAACATGAAATTCAATGTTTGAATGTGATATATTGTCCATAAAAATAATTGTAACTTCTTGTTTTTCATTTGAATCAATAAAAAATCAATTGATCCACTAAAGGTGCATTCTCGATCACTTTGAATAGATCTTTTCATCCTGAGAGTCACAATACTAGATTTTTGGACACTTGCACAGAATATACATAGAAATCACCATTTTTGAGGGCTCAAATGTATGCCATCTTAAACGTCAATATTTATCAGAATTTTTCATTATTTTTCTGGAGATTTTTCAGTTTGATGAATAGAATAAATATTTCCCCTAGATTTCCAGAATGAAAAGGTCTGTTGTAAAATCACATTCCTAAGTGAACAATTGTTTACAAAAATAATGGTTACTTCTGTTATTTCTTATTGAGATTAAGAAAATAAGAAATGATGTCAAATGATCCATGAATAGCGAATGGTTAATCAATTCCTCGCCAATTCGAAATCATCAACTGTTCAACATGAAATTTTATTTTTCCATGGGACGTATTCTCCAGAAAAATGGTTATTACTTCAGTGGTCTTTCATTCGAATCGAGAAAAAACAAGAATCGTCCCAAATGAGTCGTGCATTCTGCGTCAATCCTCCTTCCAATTGGAAAATCTCAACTATTGCGAGATGTGGAAAAGTGAGTTCATGTGTAAACTATAAACGTAAGTCCTAAAACGAAGGAAAAACGTGAATGTACAGTAAAAGTGGAGTACAATTTTAGTGCCTAAAAAATTTCAAATAGAGAACTAGTGTGACAATTGGTTATTTTCCATTACCCAGAAACATCCTTCTCAATTTGTTGTTTTTACAAATAAAGAATAAGACGGAGTGCAGAATAGCCAGTTGATTATTTTAAAACGTTTGAAAATAAAAATTGTTGTCGTCAATTATTTCACTATGAATTCCCTGCAATTATTCGATAATTGGAAAGAGAACTGAAAATTTGAGTGGAGTATTAGGATTGATGATCGTATATCCTCGAATATTTCAGTAATAAAAATTACAATTCACCTTTACGTGGCTGACTGGTTGGTATCCTCGTATCACGTTCGTGATACGCTTTCGTGGTATCGTCCCTCTCTCTTCGCAATTCATCGTCCCTTCGAGAAGTCTCAGCCAGTTTCTCCGAATTACTAAGGGGGGAAGGCATGTCATTATACAGATCTACATACCTACATTCGAGAGAGTTTGAAAAAAAAAGGGAGAAAAAACAGAAGAGTAATTATGAACGATCGAAATACGGAGACAAAGACAATTTGCCATTAATTATTTGCTATTACGATGGGTAAGGAAGAAGGAAGGGTTTGGGTGCCAAGAGTGTGGGGAATCACTGAAAATTGCAATGTTCGATCATCCGAAACCAACCATAAACGAAAAACAAATGAATCAATTACAAATTACGAATAAATATTATTAAAAATTTCTAACCTTTCAAATCTTTTCAACACTGCTGTCTCTTTCTCAACTTTAGCATAATATGCACTCAATTTAGACTCCAACTGCTCGAGATCAGGCAAAGATGATTTTCTGAGGGCCTCCAAGTCACGCTCAAGCTTGTCCTTATTTTTACGTTTCTTCCTCTCCTCTTTCTTTTTCTTCTTCCGTGATTTTTTCTCCTCTTTCTCCTTATCCTTACCCTTCTTATCCTTCTTCTTTTTCTTTTTTATTTTTTCAGTATCACCGTGTTTCTTCTCCTTCTCACGTTCGCGCTTCCAACGCGCTGTTTCTTCTAAAAATTTACGAACCTGAAAGGGAAAAGAGATGTCAACAAAATGCGGATTGACAAATGAGTTGCGAAGTGGCCAAACCGAGGCGGATCATTCATGAAATCTTCAGAGAGGTTTTGGTGAAGTTTTCAAATATTTCGGGGTCCTGATATCTCGGAAAATTTCAGAATTAATTAATCTCAAGAAGCATGTACAGATCCCATAAAATTCCCAGCAAAAATGTAACATGCGTGGAGGAATGTATTCAAATGAATTCTTATCGAATATTTTTCACATAAATGTTCAATAATTTGAAATTTGTGTGAGTAAATATCTTCCATAAAAGTCAAACATGAACATGAAAAGCATGAAAAATCTCAAAAAGACATTGATATCTCAATGAATAACGCTATTCATTAATCACATAAATAAATGACGTAAGTCAATAATTATTCCATATGAATCGATAGAAATTGAAAAATATTTTTGTTGCTTACGAAAATAGTTGTTACTTCTGTCGTTTTTCATGGAGATAAAGCAAAAAAAATCCTCTCAAATGAGAATTCTTTCTTTTCAATATTCTAGATATAAATATTCAATAATTTGAAATTTGTGTGAGTAAATATCTTCCATAAAAGTCAAACATAAATATGGAATGCATGAAAAATCTCAAAAAGACACTGATATCTCAATGAATAACGCTATTCATTAATCACATGAATAAATGATTTGATAGAAATTAAAAAATTTATGCAGTTTAACACCGAATATTCATGTTTTCATTGGAGATTCAAGTAAGTTGGAAACTTATCATCTTAGTGTTGCTCAAAAATTAAGAATTTCATGCTTTCTTCACCCCTAAAATGAAATTCAATGTCACTCTCTTGAAACGTATCCATAAACTGTCCATGAAATTTAAATTTTTTTCCAACAATGTAATCGCTACTTTTATTTTAAATCTAAAGCAGTTTAACACATCCCATTTTACCGCTTTACCACTAAAACATTTGATCCAATAAATTTTCTTTCTCCAGAACGATGAATTGATTAAAAAATGATCATACCTTATCTTCGTAATCAGAATCATCCTTAGTCTGCTCCAAAAACTTCCTCACTTGCACCTCATAATCATCCATTTTCTCTCGCGAATTACCAGCATAAGATTGTGAACCAATTGGATCATGCGAGCTCGTCGACGAAGTAGCTGGTGGATTATTGTACTGAGCCATACGTTTGCTCAGTGGTGAAAGCGAGCCTCGATGGTCCTTCTTATGCTTTCGTTTACGATTAGGCGATTTTGAGTTTGACCTGCCCGAGGTGCCAGACGAAGAGGAGCTGCTCGACTCCGAGCTCGATGAGCTCGAAGATCCACTCGAGGATGAGCTAGAGCTAGAGGTCCACTGTCTCTGCCTCTTCTTCGACCTAGATTTCCTCTCCTTCTTTCGTTTTTTCTTGTCCTTCTTGCCATCACCAGCATCAACCATGCCTTCACCATCAAACGTTTTAAAGTTATCTATGGAATTTATTGATGGAGGGGGAGGGGCATTACCGATTGTCTTAGATTTGATGTATTCGATGGAATTCCTAGCCTCTTCGTGGTACGGAGCTATTGCCAGACAATTTTGGTAAGCCTTATGGGCCTCCTCGTACTTCTTCTCATCCTCATAACTTCTTCCCAGAGCGACTAATGTTTCAGCCATGTACTTGCGAGCATTGGCGTGGGTGGGATTGATCTTCAATGCTGTTTCAAAATCATCGAGTGCCTTTTTGAAGCTTCCACTGTTGGCGTAAAGAGCTCCACGTGCCACTAAGCCCTCCACGTTTTTTGGATCTACCGTCAGGGCTTTATTCAGACACTGGAATGCCTCAGTGTGACGACCTGCTTTAAAATGGTCGATTCCATCAGCTACGCTTTTGAATGCCCATTTACTCGCTTGAGTTTGACGGAGCTCGGTGGCGTATTCATTTGGTGGGAATCTTTCTCTGTAATTGGAAAGAGTGAAATTGTTAATTGAAGAATTTTTATGAATGTATTTTTATTGTACATGAGGTGGATTATCACTCATGAAATTTGGGGGGTTAATCTAGTTTTGTTTACATTTGAGAGATCTAAAAAAATTAAAAACAATAAATGAGAATATAAGTATATAGTGACATATGGGAAAACTCATGAAATTCCATGAAAATTTTCAGCAAATTTGATGGAAAATCTTGAAAAATCTCGAGAAATTTAGAGAAACGCATCATAAAATGCGTTAAATGCTTTGAAATTTAATGTAAATTCATCACTTTCATTAAATTATCAATTAATCTTTAAATTTTATAAAATCTAAGTAATTCTATGAAATATCATGGAAATTTCGAGAGAAATTTCAAAGCCTCGTAAAACCCATGAAATTTAATCAGAAGTTATGAAGATTTCTAGCAAATTTTGAAAGATATTTTCAGAAACCTAAAGAGATATCTTAAAACTTTATGAAATTCCATTAAAGTCTGAGGAATTTCGATAAAATCTATCAAAAATGCATTGAATGATCGCCCTCTGAATATTTGTAATTATAAAATGCAATAGAGTCATCATGACACTCAAACGCCCATAAAAAATAGAAGTGTCATTAAACGATTCCACAAATTAATTGACTGCCTTTTTTATTTGTCACTGAGTGATTACTCCTTCGAGGTAACTGAATTTTATTCAGAGTTCAGTTTTTTTTATATCTAGAAATGCAGAGGAGATGCAGAAATTTCCATTAGACCGTTTTTTGTAGAGAGAGAAAAGGAAGAGCTAAAAAAATCAACACCAACATTTTTGGATCTCCTTTCGATTAAACGCTATTCATCAGCAACTCCTCATAAATTGAATTGACCTATCTTTCATCTTCCTCCACTACTAATTTGATTTTTCAATCGATCATATTTACCTCAGACCAACCATATTAGAGTAATGTTCATGACCAAGACTCATCATATCAGAAAGATACTTAATGTTGTTTGGATTATTGAAGCCGGTACTGCTCTCCAAGATAGTTTCATAACTTTGTCCTTTGTTGTCCATAGCTTTCCTAAATTGACAAAATTGATGATTATTCAGAGCTCTATTTCCCCAATCCCAATTAAAAAGGAGGCATTTAATAATCAAATAAATAATCAAAAGGCGAATACTGCCTTATTGTCAATTATTTAACTCTAAATTTAGAATTGTTATAAAACCTCAGTATAAACTCGTCTCTCACCTTTCCCAAACACTTTAGGGACGTGTTTTTCAAACACTCATTAGATACTTTTTTTCTCTAACTCAACAGAAAAAGCACGTACAATCTCTATCGTTGATTATGTTTTGTTGGAAAATTTGAGAGGTTTAATGCATTAATAAGTACTTTGTTTTGGTGCAACAAAATAAATTGCCTGAGTACAGTTTGTTTTTATCCACAAGTTGTCGAAAAATAATTGCATACATTTAGTGGGCCTCCCTGTGCTACTCATAATGTATTTTACTTTATTAAAGATTTCTTTTTTTAATGCTGGAAGTTTAAACGAGGCATTAATAATAACGACCAACTGGTGTTGGTGATGACTTATTTATATAAAGTTAAGGTGTTGAAAGCCTTAACTGCCTGGTCTCTTGTGATTGTGAGTGAATATTGCAAATGTCATGATTATTTCAACCATTCTTTTCTCCGATTAGTTCTTTTTTTTTTAATTGAGAGACCAAACAATTGTGCAACATTTTGATACCTACCGTTATTGAAATTCACTGTGTGCCAAACATTCATGTGGCACATCATCGTACTGGAAACTCAATCTCAAACGTACATGGTTTTTTTATAAATATATATTCTACAGAATACTGGACTTTTGGATATTCCGTCTGGTGCTTTTGACAGTTATATAGATGGCAAACGTAGATAAACACAACGTGTACGTGTATGTGTGCGAAACACAGTCGTGGCTCAACCACAGGTTCAAAGGTACGAATCAGATTTTTTTATTGATTTTTTTTTAGGAAATTCATCATCGTAATTTTTAACTCATTTATGTTATACCGATAATCAGGCACCTGAATTCATAAAAATTTATCAGATATTCACACGTTATTGATTGAATGATTGGTTAGTAATCAAATGATTTTGCAGATTTATATCTACAAATTATTGATTTTTTAAAATATGGGATAAATTCATTCTCATACCTGCCATTTCATGAAAGAAAGTGAAAGAAAATTTTTGGAAACATCTTTATGGGGTTTTTTTCAAATGATAAGTAGAAAAACCCATAACACAGAAAATTGTGACTTTTGTGAAGAGAGAAATAGATAAGTGCTTGCAATAATGTTTCTTTATGGGTGGAGGGACTTACTTGTAAGCCTCGGGGAGGTCGTCAGAGTGAATTAAACCCATTGATGGGTGGGATGTTTGACCCTCACGAGGGGATACATTCATAACAGCCACTACACGTTCAGCTTCAACGTTTACTTCACTCACAACGACGCACACGAGGTCATTTGCCATGTAGCCTCTTGTTACACCTTTCTTGTCCACTGCTGGGACTGTTGCTGTGTTCAATATCAGTGCCTGAATAGTGAGGCATTTTGTTATTCTCAGAAACATTGCATTTAATTTTGATCAATCAGCAGTGAAGCATAAAATATTTGAGGAGAAAAATCATTTTCAAAGTGAGAATAAGATAACTCATAACTCATTAAGATAATTCAATGTCGAACAAGATATGAACAATTCTTTACTCCTAAGAGGTTTCACCACTTCAGTACTGGATCAGACGTGAGTCGGATAAAATGGACACTTCCGACGTTTCAAAGAAATATCGATGGCTCATTAATTTTTTTATTACACGATAAAAAATTTTTTCATTTCTACGAAAAATACAGAACTCCATCTTTGACATGAGTTTCTTCTTTTTTTTTCTCGAAATTTTGTTATAAGGGATCAATCGAATTTCATGATTTTTTTCATGAATATAGACTTTAATAAGCTGTATGCATTAACACCAATTGGAATTTAATTTTTCCTACTGATTCGAAAAAATTGATACTTTTCTAAAAATCTATTTTTCAACGATCACCCAAAAAATTGTCATCAAAATGGAATTAACCTGGATTAAACTCTGGCTAAATCCCGAGTAAAGCCTGGTTAAATCCCGACTATAAATTGATTAAATCTTGATTAAATTCGAAGTGGAAATGAATTCGAGCTTTGAGAGGGTCTGAATGTAGAATTATTTGACAGAACGAAATAATACGCAAAACTGATGACATTTCAATTGATGATAGTACTATGACATGAAAAAATACGATAAGAGAATAGTGAAATAATAATTTCGAAAAAGAAGACCCATTCCGAAACAAATTGCTAATTTATTAACAACATTTACTGTACTCATTTATTTAAAAAATGCCTTTGTCACTCTTTTTTTCAAATCAAGTGTTCATTCTAATCTACTCTTCCCTATTCAATTTCCTATTTTTCGAATTACACATACCTTTACTCCTAAATCAGTTACAACTCTTGGACAATCACTGCAATTGCAGAGGATCTTCAATAGTAGTCCGGCAGCACTTTTACCCATCACTTGGGCATAGATAACATCGCCAATAATCAGACTCTGAAATTTACGAAAAAAAAATCCAAATGAACAACCATTATCCGTGCAATTAAAAATTTTCACCAAAATTAGAATAATTTTCATACGAAAATTTTTCATTCGAATTATTCGATGTCCTCCTCACCTCTAAAAAGTTTCTTATCCGTTGTGTTTTCTCCATGGTAACAAAGGAATCAAGTCCTGGCATTGTGGCATAAAACTCTGAAGCAATAAAAGCTACCATGAATACGTTTCCACCGATAACACTCACAGCTGATACACAATCCACATCTACGTCATCAAAAATCACCCAAGAAAAAAATCGGAATGCTCACCTTCATCACCGATTTCCTGCTTCATTGCTTCGTTACATTTCGACAAATTCGACTTATCATAAAGTGTTTCAGCTTTCTTGACAATAAATTGCTGGAGTTTTAGCCTTTTTCCTCTGTCTCCAAAACTGGAAACCATTAATAAAACATTAGAATAATGATGATTCACTTTGGCCTAGCCCTAATGAGAAACACGCATTTTTTCAATCCTCAATTTGAGGCATAGTACGCATGAAAAATATTTAATAGAAAAACTTGGCGATTTCTCTGTGAAATTCTATCGAATTTCTATTAGAACTCAATAAGAATTCTCTTGAAGTTTTATCAGAATTTTATTTAAAAATGCGATATGTTTTCTGTGCCATTTCTGCAGATTTTCTTACGACATATTTGATAGAATTAGTCAATAGATTTTGATTCTTCTATAGAAATTTTTGAGCATAAAGTTTGTTTTCCTGCAGTATTTTTATTTGTTTCTCGTTATAAAATCCAAGAAAAAAAACTTGGAGTAATAAATTATAGGGAAAAATTGACATCGATAGATATTTTTCGATAAAAAAAATCTATTTAATATCTATTAAAACAAATTTAATAGAATTAGCAGAATAAATGAATAAAATCATTCAATAGAATTTTTTTGAGAAACGGCCAGATTTTTCTATTAATTTTTGTCACACGTGATCTCTAATTTACAGGCTGAATTTACGTATCTCATCTGGTTAAAGAAAATACGTCACTGAAAAATGCTATTGCGAGAACAAATATTATAAATTCGAGAGTATTTTACTGTGATTCTTAAACTAAGAACCTTTATTCTTAATTTCGCAAAAAAAGAGTTCAAAAATATTTTACTCTTCACGGATAGCACATGTTCCATTTAATGCAGAGAAAAAAAAATCTTGTTTCCAGTAAAAATCTCTGAATTTCAGAAATTTGTCGTGATGAAGTCCAACGAGCAAAAAATAGTTCAAGAAAATGTTTCTTAAAGATCAGAAAAGGAAATTCTCAATAATTTTTACTTCAATCGAGTATAATTTTGTTTGAAATTAATGTTGGTTTTGACATTGAGAACTTTTGAGTTCTTAAAATGACAAACATTCTGATTCTCTAGTTAAGAACACAGTTTTTCAATTTATGATTTTCCTTCAAAGCATATCACCGGACAACTTGACTCAATGAACGTTGATTAATGTTCAATTATTTCCGAATGTTATGCCTTCAAATGTTCTTAGGTTCAGAATGCAACGATTGCCAATTGAAGGATATGCAAGTGCTTTGGCTATTCGTTCTGCATTGAATTACTTTTCTACTCTTGTAGTCGAACATCAGGAGCTTTCATTTGAGTTCCATTTGACCCTAAGTTTCCGGACATTTTACAATGATTTTACTATTCAAATTGGATCTCGATATTGAATCATTAGAAAACATTTTGGAAATCTAAAAAAAAATTATAAAATTTATTCTTGAAGGAAGATTGATAAAATGATAGCAAAATTGCAATTGCTGAAAATTACGGGCATTTTCTATAAATAATTTACAATTTTCTACCATAAAAATCATTTATTCGGAACCATAACAAATTTATTTATATTTAGAATTATACCAGAAATCAATTTCATGTCTAAAAAATTAAGACAGTTCCGAAAGTTTAAACAATTTCAATCCTTTATTTATGAACAACGAATGTTAAAAAAACAATTCTGTGCAAAATGTAATTGTAATGACGTTGAATGTTCATGATTGGTTTTTTAATTTTTCCGACGAAATTTAATTCACAAATTTAATGATTGAAAATGGTTGAATCTATAGTGTGGTCTGTACTAAATTGTAAAAGATACGTTGGCTATTTTTTTCTCCAGTGAAATGCTTTACTATTTTTGTAGTCGAACATTAAAGTTTTCATTTGATCCCAATTTGACCGCAAGTTTTCGGACATTTTACATTGATTTTATTATTTAATATATAAATTTTGCAGGTCTGAATTTAACTCTCTAAGGTGAAAAGCGTAGTAAAGCGTCGTAGCACGCTCCAGTGGGGACGCTGGTATTTCGCTTTCGCGGCCAGATTGGGGATATTGAAATTCACCTTATAGGGCTAAATGTCGATATTGAATCATTAGAAAATATTCTAAGAATCTAAAAAAAAATTGCAAAGTTTATTCTTGGAGGAAGATTGATAAAATGATAGAAAAATTACAATTTTGGAAAATTACGAATATTTTCTATAAATAATTTGCAAACAATCAATTTTCTACTACACAAATCATCTGTTCGCCACCGTAACAAATTTATTCATATTTAGAATTTTACCAGAAATCAATTTCACGTCTAAAAAATTAAGGTTTGCGAAACTTTAAACAATTTCAATCATTTATTTATAAACGATGAATATTTAAAAAAAACAATCCTGTGCAATGTGTAATTTGAATGAGGCTGAATATTCATGATTTATTTTCAAATTTTTCTCACGCAGTTTAATTGACAAATTGGATGTTAAAAAATGCTTGAATCTATAGTGTAGTCTGTACCAAAAACTGTAAAAGATACTTGAATATCCTTAAGAACTTTGTTCACTTGAAATAAGCAAATTTTTTAGGCTGAATTTGAAGAATTTTTCCTCTGAAATGAACTAATTTCCACCAACTTAATTCTGCAAGCCAGAATTTTACTCTGTGTAACTTTTACAAGTTACGTATTTCGTAAAATTTGACTGAGATACCTATTCCCCACTGGAACACACTCAAACCCTCCATCTGAAGAAACAAAACCCCAAAAATAATACCTGAGTGTTTTCTGACGCTGCTGATAAATATCGAAGTTTGGATCTTTGAGGCTGAGCATAGCAAGCTCAGTCTCACTTCTCTCACCATCCCAGACTTTCTGCAGTTGTTGACCATGATAATTCAATGCCTGTGCCACCAGACGCGGCTCCATTGCATCCATAATCCCAGATTATAATCTGCAATGCTACACAAAATCGAAAAGAAAACGAATGTTTTTTACACTCCAGTTTTCCCGTTGTCTTTCCCCTCGCATGGAAAATCCAACTGATAAAAAATTGGTGGCATAAAATGGACGTCAGCCAGTGTCCGTGAGCCAGTCGATGCTATCGTGGATATTTTTCAACTAAATGCTCAATTTGTCAATGAAGAAAAACAATAAAAATTCCCACCGGAGGCACCAAGGTTAGACGCCAGTAAACTCTGGGGATTCCTTTAAATATCTATCATCCAGCCGTCACTTTTATTTTTTATACTCTCGCTCTTACTCTTGGTAATAAATGAATAAATCCATTTGCCGATGAAGTTCCCTCGAGGAGTGGTCGTCAATACCACATATGTCAAACACCTCTGGCGTTGTATTTTATTGATCAAACAAATTAATGGAAAGACTCGGTCAGGAGACAACGATCGAAGACAATATAAAATGTGTGTCGCTTATGATATGCTATAGGAGCGATGGTATGCCTCACAATGGCCACCGGGATAAAATCATATCCACATTTTTTTACAGCACTTTTAAATCCATCTACGGTTTTCCCTGTGAAATCAATTACTCGTCAGAGTACTCACCTGAGGTATTGTATTTGTTTTCTTCAATTATTTGATTGTACTTGATTGTTGTATGATTTTTGCTCCTTTTTCAGGGAAATGTAATTGAAACTTGAGTGGCATTGACTGCGTGATGCGAGCACTCCGGGAGGAACTGGAGAAAATTACTGCGCATATTATTTGCGCAGCCATTTTGCGCGCATGCGCACGGTGAACTAGCATCAGTACACATCATTGGCATGAATACTTTTGGATTTTGGTTTTCAATGAGGGATAAACTTTCAATTTCATGAATTAAGATTTTTTTCGTTACAACAGAAATTGTCAATAACCCGATTTTTCACTTCTCGCTGAATATTGAGTTACATATACTACACGGAAAAAAATTCTAAGAATTTTTTTGTACGAATTTAGAAGAGTTAATTCATTTTACTCAGAGAAAAAACTACTGAATATGATAAAAACAATTTCGTGAGCTAAGAAAATGGCATAAATATTCGATCAATTCACGACAGGTTAAAAGTAACGTAATACGATACTGAATGAAAACAAATTGTTTTCGAAAGAAAATTAAATTTTTTAAACGATGAAAAGGTTTTTAAAAAGATAAAAATCAAAAAAATCAAAAAAATCAGTCAACCCCCTTCAAGTTATTTACCTAATTGAGTCCGACTCAATATTTCAGTAAAACAACTCATAACACCACAGCACAAGAAGAAAAAATTAAATGTCCGTAAACGGCGTTTGACAGACACAAAATGTCCGTAAAACTGTGTGACGAAATAGTACATTTCGATACTAGGGCGTATGAAAAATTTTCTGGCGAATATGACTTTGCAGTACGAACCGAAGGCGAGTGATGCAAATCATATGAGTCAGAAAATTTTTCTGCGCCCGTGTGTCGAACAATATTTTTTGTCGCTCTGGCATCAAGCACACGCCCCTAAAACGCTGCCTTACGACCAGAATGATAAAAAAATACTTTTGGCGATACTTGCCTGAAAAGTGTACTTTTCGAAACGGTTTAGTGTGTGGAAAGCGATTGTTTTTCGCACGTCGTGGGTAAATCTCACGAACGTGTGTAAAGTGAATTCTCGTGTGTAAACCTTCACTTTAGACACTCGAAATTCACTTTACGCTCGTGAACTTTACGCACTAGTGCACAAAAACAACCATTTTACCCCCATTACTGTCAAGTCAGGTGATATAACAAAACCTATATCACCTGAAGCATATTATTGGACTCTTATTATCTTTAACGTGCAATTTTTGCTTTTTTCTATAACTTTTTTCATTTTTATCCATTCGTCCTTCGCATTTGACCTCATGACCCGTTGAAATGTCTAACCGTTGAGAACCATAACATCTGCTACCGCCCCCCGTTGACCCTAACTCAATTCCCTGAAACGCTGCCGACGCTGACTGCTTGGGGGTAGCGCAACAATTTGCAGCGGGGGTCGCAGGAAATAATACTGTATTGACGGAATTTTGCACTCACATATCCATACATGATATGAAGATCAACATGAGACTCAAACATACCTTAAACAAATTAAAATTACAGCGAACTTTTCTATAAATCGATTGCCTGGTAAAAATACAAATTAACGAATCAGAATGTCTATGAATTACTGCGAATTTCCTAACGTATTATGAAATTTAAAAAAATCAAAAAGAGAAAGGTAGAATAAAAGTTGAATGGACAAACTCCAACAAATGTGGCGGTTTTTTCGCTCACGAATAATCACTTTTTTTTCATAACGATTACAAAAAAAATATCAGAAAACATTTTTTATTGGGGGTTTCTTCAGCTCCACAAAAGGTCTTTCGCCTTTTCCACCCAAAATCTTTTGCTTCCGAGATCAATTTACAGTAATTAAAAGTTTCGAACATGACGCGTTATGATCCGCCATTTTGCTTAGAAATTTGTTTTTCCATTTTTACCCCCGATGGGAACGGATGGGCCTAATTTTATTCCCGGGTAGAAATCACGCCGCTCGAGCTCGGCTCGGAACCCATATCCCAGCTAGAAATACGCCACCCCGCCCCAGCTTGGGATAAACTCCACGCGCGTCACATGTACCCGAGGTTGAGCCGCGTCACGCGCTCACAGCCCAGCGTTAGACTATTACGCGAAACGCTTCGCCGGGCTTTAGTTGAATGGCCACTGCTCAACCTCAGGTTCATCTCCAATTACTCAATCCCAGTATACTTAACCTCAATAATGATTTGACAGGTCCGATGGCATCGTGATTTGAGCGAAAAAACAATCGAATAAATGTGAAGATGGCATGCTTTTTCAGATGAACAATCACAAGCTCATCAGAAATAACGTGATATTAACTAATCGAATGGGATTAATCTGAAAATACAAGGTAGAACAATTCACTGAAACGTAGTCAAAACTTTCTTTTTTCTCGCGAATACAACAAACAAAATCAAGAAAAATAATCACTTGAAAAACGTTAACGAACCTTTATTATTAATTATCAACGCTACAGGAGAGGATATTCTTCATTTTTCGATAGGCCTACGAGTTCTAAGAATATTCTACGATTTATTAGGGAAATGTTGAATACAGGTATGCCAAAATAACACGCATGAAAAAATTCAACAGAAAAACCTAGCGCTTTCTATTAAATTTCTATTGGAATTCTATGAGAATTCTCTGGAAGTTCTATTAGAATTCTATTCGTTTCTTGTGCCGATTCTATAGGAGATTATGCAACTTCATAGACTCTTTTTGTTAGGTAAAATTTGGTGCAAGAAAGTAAATAGGTTGTTATTTTCCTATAGATTTTCTTAGGCGTAAGATTTCTAAGTTTTTTCCGCTCGATTTTTCTTGATTTTCCAAAGTATTCAAATTTTAAATCGATATTCCAAAAATGCATAAATATCATTCTATTCCACCCTCCACTCGAAACGACACGACTCAATCGGAGCTGAGCTCTAAGCGTTGAGCCACAGCTCAAACTCAAGTGCCGGGTTATGCCGTCTGATGAGCGTTCGACTGTGAGCCGGTATGGAGCGGCGTGTCGCGACGTGAACTCGGGTCAAGCGGCAAGCCGAGGCTGAGCTCGCGCTCACCTGAGTTGCGGCTGAATCCCCGGTTGAATTTCTATTCGGGATTGTGCCGTGTTATTTTTACACTGGATGAAAAAAGTAAAAAAAAACGAGTAAACTGAAAAAAATGGATTTTTCCGTGATTTAATTCAGATAATCGAAAAAAATACCTACTTTTATTCGATTATAGGATAGTATATATGTGTATAGTACATAAAATATCCCTAAAAATAAGAAAGAAATTCAAAAAGCAAAAAAGAAACGAAAAAGATGATGAATAGGATTATGGCGATAACGAATGAATTATTCAACAATAAAATTCTCATTGTGAAAAGTTTTGTTGAAACCATTAATTTTTCCTCTATTATCATTCAGATGAAAATTAAGGAAAGTGAGAAACGGTAAGATTTTACTATTCTGATGGCGCCCATGGGAAACAATACGAGCGCGATGCGCGCACCCTCTTCTAGTCGAGGGGCTACAGACTGTAGTCAATTTCACCTGACGACATCAGTGATTTCAATGACTGATTGCATTGAATTCACGATTTTCAAGCATGATTTCCAGTAATTACATGACTCATCATGATTTCATTGACTCTATTCGACTGAAATCAATGATTTCTACGTAATTGAAATCACTGAAAACTCAATGACCCGAAATTGAAAGAATAATCGAATAATAATATCAAAACGATTGATTTTATTATCATAAAACATTTAACGAACGCTTATAAATTATTATTATTTCTAATAAACGAATGAACAATATTAGAAGTACTTTTTTACTTCTCTCAAAATTTTTTGGTCAACTTTCAAGTGCCTTTCATCATCAAACGTTGGAGGTGAAATTGTTTTTCGATATTGTTTAATATCATCATAGCCCTGAGACGTCATTGGCTGCGACAGTAATGTATCTGAATTTGTCTTTAAGATATACCAACAATACAAAACACCTATATCTCTTTTGTTACCATCAATACGTGTGTATAGAAAATTTTCGAACCAAAAATTCTAGAGCGAGTGTAGAGCGTGGTGTATTTTCGGTCGAGGGATTCCCTCGTGATTTCATGGATTTCATTGACTGCAAATGATTTCATTGTGACTTCAAGAAATGACTCCATGAATGGGAATCACGAGATTTCTATGATTTCACTGATGTCAGCGATTTCATGGGTGACTCCAAATTGATTTCACCAGCAAGTGACACCATGATTTCCGGAGTTACTAGCCCCTCGGTTCTAGTAGTTGAATAAAAACATGGTTAAAAAAAGTGTGGGGCTGGCATGCGGGGGGCCCGTTCGCTTCCGCTGGGGCGCCAGATTGTGATACTCAATCTCACTGTTTCATCAACTGTACCTGAGCATACGTTTTTCCCTCAAGTGAATTTTTCGTTTGCCTCACGTGAAAAATAAAAATAACAAATCAAAAGACCTTTTTTTCATTTTCTATAAAAATCCTAAAATTTCAATTTTGAGTTTTTATCCTCTTCTGAAACTATTTGAGAAAAATAACTATTTCGTCAGGGGTTTTCAATTTTTAATGTTGTAATTTTTGTTTTACGCCTATATTATAAAATTCACTACACAGAATCAATTAAAATTCATTACTCTTTATTAATTTACAATTATCGAACTATGTGTTGAACTGGAAGATATTATTAAAACGTGAAAATGAAATGTAACAATATAACTAGAGTCAATCAGTGCTTATTTAATCTTCTTCGCCTTCTTCTTCTTCTCAACATCAACATTCCAGTAGTAGAGTAACTGGAAAACAATAATCGCATTTGCAGAGGTGGAGCAGACGTACATAATAATCATGTTGGTGTCGCCCGTTTCCTGGACGGATGTGAATATTCTTGCCATTGAACCGAACAGAAGCATGAACATCGTCACCGCTGATAGCTGTCCCGTACTACCATTTTTGTAGTTTGTGTGTGCTTGACATAGCTGTGATAAAGAAATGAATGTTCAGATGCAGATAAGGATTTAAGTTATCCACTTCACGTATGAAGACAAGTGGATAATTGTTGCTTCCGCATGGAAGCATTGTAATCGTTCAAATTTAAGTTTCAGATTTTTGTGTTATATCAAGCTATTATGATCCAAAAAGTCCGAATATGTAACTTTTAGGCCCTGTCCGTATGTATGTGTGTATGTAACAAACTCTTTTCTTAGTTTTTCGATAATAAATCGATGAAATTGATTTTTTTTGCAAATGTACGGTTTTTTGACCTCTATCAATCGATATTAATTAAAATTTAATCCATATATTACATTTTTGATTTTTTTTTAATCGGTTGTCCCACCATAACTCGAAAAAAATGTTCTAAATTCATTGAATAATGGATTAACCCTCTTGAACTGGCTCAATGAGCAAAGCGACGCCTTTTCTCGATTTTTTCTTGTTGCATGCAAAATTATGTATGAAAAAATTGTAAAAATTACAATGCCTAGTTCAAGCCCTCTAGAACGAACTGATAAGATTCTTATCCCTTGAAAACCTCATGAATACCATGAAAAATAATAATTTAGTGAGACTGGTACGGAAAAGTAGCGCCTCGCCGCCCGGAGACAGTGCACTCGTGTAGTCGGTTTTTAGCCGCACTGTTGCCACGCCGTTCGTTTCAGTTCAGACATACTAGGCGTCAACATCTCTATCACGTGTCGTGTTTGGCGTCTCATAAAAAACGCGAATTAATTTTTTTGGAGAATAAATGGTGTTTAATTCGAAAAAAATGTGTGCAGTGTAGATTTTTATTCACGTATAGTGCTCGAATGTGGCAACACCGCGCTAACCTAACACGGGCGGCGCGTTGCTCACCGAGCCAGTGGACTCGGGTGGGCACCGAACGCCAGTTCAGGAGGGTTAATAAAATTACTGGGACGTCTCTTCGACCGAATTCAAAAATGAAAGCGACAGCTGTTAATTGTTGTTTTGATTTTTGGAATAATTTTCAGAAATTTTTTATTTTATAAAAATTACAATTCCGAGAATATCTCTAGATATGAAGCTCTATCACGTATGAAAAAAACCTATGGAGAATTTGAACATTTCCTATAGGATTTTCTAGATAGGAGATTTCCTAGAGCATAACCTAACTAATCAAAAATCAAGATAAAAATAAATTTAATATCCGAAAATTTTGGAAATTTCAGGAATTCTTGATTCAATCTATTTGCTATCCCTCAGTACATTTTCTTTGCGCCACAATTAATACAACATTAGAAAAGTGAGGTTTTCTAAGAATCGAGCCTGAAATGCGGCGTTCGTTGCGCGACCACAATCGTCAGTGGAATTTTCTTGCCGACGTTGCCAAATCTGGCCCACCGGCAGTCAGTCCGTAGCAGGGGATGAAAACGCCGGCTTCCTTCTCCTCTTTTATTTGGTTGCGGAGGTTTAGGTACCAACCAATTTTCGTTTATTTTTTCGCAGTAATAAATTTTCTTATGAAACTAATCCTGTTGGGATTTTTTCTAAAGAAGATGTTTCTAATGTTTTTTAATAGAATGAAACAAAGAAAAAATACATCTTAATTAATATGAAACATTTATGTGGAAGACATTGTATAGACAAAATCTCAACAAAATATGTTGCGTGGAAAAATTGAACCTAAGAAATTTCTTATATTCAATTTTTTTTCTACTAAATTATTGGATTGAAAAAAAATGTGAAGAAGATTCACAATTCTGAATAGAAATTAACAAAAAATTGATTGAGCTTTTATCAAATTTTTGGTATAGGTGTTATCTTCAATAAAAATTCTAGATTTCCTACCTTGCTGATTAGGACAATAGGAATGGTGAGTGATTGGGCGCCCCATAATATGTTCAATGGAGTTAATCCAGTAACGACTGCAGTAATTACTGCCAGGTATCCAGCGAAAAAGGCAGTTGCTTTAACTGTGTCTCCACGGTAATGTAGAACGAGTACAGCTATAGCGAGAGTTTGAATCCCCAAAAATACGCCGTCCCCCCAGGCACTGAAAGGAAATGTACAAATAGATACCGCACTAGTCATTGAAAAAATAATCTTGAAGAATAAAAGATAATATATAATACTATATGGATATTATATGGATATATGAATAATAATAATATATGGAAATATATGTAAGTACAATTATTTTTCCAATACACTGAGACATTTTTTTTTTGACAATTACGTCTTCATTTGTATCAAGGTACGCATGGATCGAAAATTGACAAGAATAGAATATTTGACACTGAAGAAGAAAAAACTTTCGTCAAATGATTTTGTTCTTGTCCTATAAAGGCGAAGATAATTTGTGACAAGAAAGTGATATGTCAAGCCAAGTCTGGTTGAATTAATTTATTCAACAGTTTTTGAGTCTCAAATTCAAAATATTTTAATGCAAAAACTACTTGACTAGGTTCGAGGAGTTGCTTTCTTGTTGTAAACAAATTGCCCCTCATCTTTCGGGCAAGTACAAAATCTCTTGACGAAATATTTCTTTTCTCAGTGTAAGATATTGTTTTCTCGTCAATTTTCAAGCCATGAGTATCTTGATACAAATAAAGACGTACTTCTCAAAAAAAAAAAATTTTATCCGTGTATACGAAGGAAAGTAGAACATTAGTTATTTTTTAGATTTAGTTATACACCGCATTCATAGTGCTCTTTAGTCAGTGAGTTTTTTCAATTTCATAAAATTAGATGACGGTCGCTTGCTTCGCTCGGTTCACTCAGTCGAGTGCTAGTCAATCACGGTTCGATTGATTGGCCATCAATAAACCAACGATCGGCTAGCAATCGACCAACAATTGACCACCGACTAACCATCGACCGGCAATCAACCAATGATCCATCCATTCAGTGATCAACCAACGACCAACCGACCATCGATCAAGTGAACAAGTCGATCTACTATCGAGTCACCATCCAGTAGCCATTGATCGATCCTTCAGGGATGCCGAATGGGGAGTCCCGCACAGTTACGTGAACATTCATAATGAAAAATGAATTGAGTCAATGAGGTTTGAATTCATTAGCGGTTACCCAGCCACAATTTTGAAAATAATTTATTAGAGGCCATGGTTCTATACTGAAAGCATCAACCTCTCATTCTAGCCTGATTTGAGTTTCCACTCGGGTATATGTCAAACAAGCGTATGATTATTACATTATATTAATCCGATAAAATTTTCCATCTCCGATTTTTATTCTTTGCTATTTTTTTATGTATTCTATCAAAATGTGAGGATAGAAATTGAATTGATGGGTATTATTTCATTATTTGAAAACGAAAAATTTCATTTTCATGATCTGATTTAATTGAGAGGAATTATTATATTATACTGATATTATTTAACATAAATATCTCTTCATTTGAAAATGAGAAAAATTGTTCCCACAATTTGTATACTACAATGGGAATAGAATCCAATAAATTTAATTTAATCTAACCACAAAGAAAAATTGGAAAGAAAACAATAAAACAAATTAATATAAAATAATCTAGCGACGGGCGCGAAGCTATTACTACGCATAGATATGCATATAATACGCACAAAGCTAGTGTTCTTCATACACAGCTAGACAGAAGTTCCACACTACTATGCGTGATTTACGTATTAATGACACATGATTTTCACGATTTCATAAATTGCTTTCTGTGCGTACGCTCGCACACACACGGACAAATACAAGCATCCCTTATAAAACGATATACAATGATTCTAGAGATCATAAAATATGGTGATACTATAGGGGGGGGGGGGGGGGGTCAAGTGGAACGTTGAATATATCAACTCAAAAATCTCAATATCTGTTCATAAATAAAGATCATAGGAATTGGAATAGGTCGCAGACATTCCCTTTTAGTGCATTCGAGATCTCCCTTTGAATTCTCACATTTGATTTTTGCAGTAATTATTGTAACCATCCTATGTAGATTGGAAACTTAATGAATATACCATTCAAGTAATTCTGAAGTCAATCGTAAATTGTAATAGCGCTGTTAATGTTTGTAAGGAAACAAGAAACATCTAGCTTTTGAAATACCATTTAAATTGGTTATCGGGCAATACGACACTCGTAAATTTAAACACATGGATTTAACACATGCATTTTCAACACTTGGCGTTTTAATATATACAAATTTAAAGCGTGTTTTATTTTGTATGTGTGTGTATTTGAAGTTTTATGTCACCTCAATAATCCCTCATTGTTGGACACGTGACGATGCGTACGTCGGACTTCAAATTAGTATTGTTTTGATGACATTTTTTGTGATAATAAGTATTAGGAATTGATTTTTAAAACACTGTAGTGGTGTGTAGTATGATATTATTTTGTTGTGATTAGTTTAATTGTAATCTAATATCAATTTATTGAAATAGGTGTTTTGCTGATTTATATGTTCTCATTTATTGATGCAATTCACTGTATTGTTGTTCATATTTTTTTGATTTTTCATTAAATTAATTCTCATGCTAAAAATAAATATTTATTGATTTTAAAGACTGTGTTGATAATGGCGTTGAATGTGTGTGTTGAACTTGTTGTTGTTATATTTGTTTGTGCTAACATTTACGTATGTCATTTTGACATGTAATCCTATAATTAATGTATTCTCGGTTATGCATTATCATCTCTGTAATTACCTGAATGGAAAACCGCTGACAAAACTGTACGATATCATCGCAGTGATGGCGAATAAATCTAAAAGGACACTTGTAAAATTTATTCCCTCGCTGCTTTTGCTGTTGTAAATCTTCACAACTTGAGGGACTTTGACTGTAAAAAAAATTAACATTTCATACTGATAAGGTAAACAATGAAATTCAACATTGTTTCATCTTTTGGACTAATTACCCATTAAGGAGCCCGCAATGATCGCAAGGCCGAGACTTTTGCTGAGAGTGGCCTTAAAGCACTGAACTGTCACAATGTATACAAAAAAATGTTATTGTGAAAATATGCGAGTGAAGTAATGTATTTTCAAGTTTTGAATGCTGTTAAGACTTCCCGCCTTCAAGGGTCAAGTCGAAGTGCTCAGGGGTGGGCCTGAAGTACCATTATTACATCAATACTCGGAGCCCCTTATGTAATTTATAATTCCTTACATGAGTGATTTCGATTAGCAATAAATTGAATGAATTAAACGTAAATTTACCGTGTAAAAAATTCAAATTCGTAAAATACTCGTCAAGGCACTGCTCTGAAAAGAGGAGTCGGGATACCGCTTTAATGTACTCCATTTTTTATAAATTATTCAATTAACGTTAGCATTAATTTTTTATATTTTTTTGTCTTGAACCGACACTTTCGGTGGAATTCGAGCGTTCGAATCAATTACTTTAGAATGCACTCGCGGGAATGTGTGGGTTATCTCAGGAACTGGTGTTGTATTTCAACACGTCAACAATCTGCGACAACTGCGACTATCTTTCCGGGTGTACGCTGCTGCCATCTGATCGTAACTTGCTAACTCCATCGGTTGTAAACTCTACTGACGGTAATGAATGAGATGCGCCAGTACCGACCGTGAGGAAGCAAAATTTTTGGAAAACGTCCGATAAAATAAACGAAAATTCTAAATGAAAATTACGGTGTCATACAATCACCGAATTACGATGGTTAAGGGCTTTTCGCCGTATATACCCGAGTGGAAATTCTAATCAGGATAGAATAAGAAACTGACCAGTAAAAACTGACTTTGATCAGTTGTGGGTTAGAAATGTGACGCTTGTTTGGATCCATGCCTAATCTAAATTTTGGGATCCGATCTTTCTGAGCAGTAGCGGATGACTGATCAGAATGAGATCACAAGTCACTCCACCACATTGGATCCCGATGATACTCCATTCAGAATCCCATCAAATCCTGATTCGACAGTCTAATCAATAAATTCTGACCAGTATTGGACCTAAAACTGATCTAGAACCAAGCTTACTGAGTGAAATTTCCACTCGGGTGAGAGTGTAGTAGACACTGTTTGGCCCTCACTCAGCCGAAGACACTGTCCTATCTCCTGATTTCACGTCATGAAATTTACATTATTTTCAACGGTATTTAGTAAATCACATCGATTTTCAATTAGGTCGCGCATTCTTAGGCTACATTTGAAATTTTTTTAAACTAAATTTCAGCCAACGACCATATCACGCTGAAAACGCCAGTTCTCGTCCGATCACTGAAGCTAAGCAGCATTGAGCGTGGTTAGTACTTGGATGGGTGACCGCTTGGGAACACCACGTGCCGTTTGGCTCTTTCTTTTGAATTTTTCCTTTTTCAGACGTGTTGATAAGTAATAAAATGTCACTGATAAACAGTCAGATGTTTTACATTTTCATTCACTTCGTGACTAATTGATCATGTATTGTCATTTTTGGGAATTGGAAAATGTGATTGCGAGTTCGACGAGGTCATGAAGTTTCTTGAGTTGAAGTTTATAGATATCTTTTTGTTCGTATATAGGAGTGTGGTAGACACTGTTTAGCCTTCACTCGGCCAAAGACGCTGTAGTTACTCCTGATTTTACTTCATGAAATTTACAGTATTTTCAACGGCTTTTAGTGCTTCACCTCTATATTTAATTAGATCACGAATTCGCAGGCTATATTCGAAATTTTTTTGAACAGAATTTCAGCCAACGACCATATCACGCTGAAAACGCCAGTTCTCGTCCGATCACTGAAGCTAAGCAGCGTTGAGCGTGGTTAGTACTTGGATGGGTGACCGCTTGGGAACACCACGTGCCGTTGGCTATTTCTTTTAAATTTTTTCCTTTCCAGAAGTGCTGATAAGCAATAAAATGTCACTGATAAGCAATTACATTTTGTTAATTTTCATTCACTTCGCGACTAATGCCTCGAGTAGAAATTCAAATCAGCCTGGAGTACGGGACTGCGATTAGTAAAAACTGGATTTGATCAGTTTTGGATCAGATCTGCAACGCTTGTTTGGATTCATGCCTGATCCGAATGTCAGGATCCGGTTTATTTGTTCAGTACTGGATCCAAACTCCCTGACCACTGTGCGATCAAATCCGTCTGGTCATTGATTCAATCTGTCGTATCAGTGCCTGATCAATTTTTCAGGATCGGTCCTCAGCATTTATAAAATAGCTAACATGAAATGAAAACAAGATTTGGGACTGTCTTGACGTCGAATTTTTATTTAGTCATGTGTGTCTCTGATGAAAGAAATAGTTTATGAATTTCAACTATTAACAAGGAATGGTGAATAATGAAATTGAATAATAAATAATAGCAATAACTGACATGAACAAATTTCGATAGAACTCTTGATAAGAATTGGAAAAATAAATTTGAAAAATAGGTTTCGGAGAAGTTTCGTGAGTTCTAGATTGGACCTTGAAGTTCTGCGTAATTTTATTAAAGTTAAAACTAACTAAAAAAAATGAAATGAAAATTCAGAATATAGACCTTTCGAAATTTTGTAACAAAGACCCTCTAATCTGGAAAATCTAGAAAATTGCGAAAGTCCAGAAATCTTTAATCTCACCGTTACCCCTCCTGGTCACCTGTTATAATTTGGATCTAAATTGTCACTCATGATTTATACACTGTTTACTGACCGACGATCGCATCAGACTTTCGGTGCTCATTTTTTGCATCGGTTCTCGTCGAAACGATCTTCAAATTCGGATTCTACGCCTCAAAAAACATCGAAAAATATCAAGTCGACTAGTAACCCCAAAAATTTATATCAAATGGTAGCTAGCGAATGGACTAGTAATTGGTTGGAATCTGATTGCATCGGATTAAACTCTAAAGTGTACAATGGTTGTCATACGGAGGAGTTAGCAATAAAAACGCACCAAGAATGAAACCTTCGAATACCGTTTACTGAATTTATTATAGCGCACACAATTAGATACATAGGATCGAAAAAAACGGGGTAATATTACATGGAAAAATTGAGGAGTAAATGTATAATTTTGCGTGTTTGTTTGACTTAGTGATTTTGATTAATGAGATGTCAAAGGGGTGGTTACTATCACTCAGGCGCAATATCTCAGGATCTCTGATGTCTCCTTCAAATCTGGGGAGGTGCCGAAAAGTCGGGTGGCTAGTGAGCCAGGCCGTGAGGTTGTAACAATGGTGTTGATGACGATGATGGTTCTAGAGTCTTTGACGCCTCAGTAGGGGTTACAGACGCGGATAATGTCGATGGTGTTATTGAAGAGTTGAAATTGATATTTGAACAATTTCACGGAGTTGAAGAAGCCCCTAGTGTGGTCCATAAAATTTGAATTGAAAACTCAGTGAATAAATGGTGAAGTCAAAGAAGTTAGCTCTCCACAGAATTCCAGTGCTTGAGGCGCAAATAAACAGTCAAATCTCGGTTTAAGATGACCACACTAGTATAGTGAGTGGCTGAAGACTACCAGAGATAAGTCGTCACGAAGAGTCCGAGTTTCACGATGGTAGAAAGACTGTCTTAGATAAGAATTTGGAAGACAGTGAACAAAGTCAACGTTTTATATTGTTGTTCAGAGTGACACAGTGCGGAGCGACCGTCACAAAATGTAGTTTTAGAATGAACAAGGAATGTCGAAAATCATTCCCTTATATACGAATCTGCTAGGATCAGCTTACCGAAGGTGTGGAGGGTGGCCTGGTTAAGGTGACACAAAAGTTTCCAGAAAATGTGAAATAACTGAATAGTCCCGAGGTATCACCTGCCATTTGATTTCCCCTTTTCGAGTATCTAGCGGTGTAGTACATTTAGCTATCATTTCGAGCGTGGGCCGTTTTCTTTGGGGGACCAACAGTTAAATCCGCGAATTTAAATTACTGTTTTTTTTATAGGTTGTCGGTGTTTCACGGAACATTCCCGTTTTCCAGCAGTACCTCTTAGGATAGTTTTGTCGAATTCCTCCATTTTTTTCGGTAATCAAATTCATATATATGCCGCCTCTAGGAGTTTTAGGGACACTACGGTACCACGTCACTCCCGCGGTACCGATGCCCATTCGAGTAGTGTTCGGGGTGTAACATCTACACTCATAGGGATCCGTAGGTGAGGTATGAAACTAGCCTTCTCCTTTCGGCTTATGCGCTGTTAGTTTTGGAAGTCTATTCAATTTACTTAATAAGATGCATTTTTGACTATCAGAGTGAATACAGACGGAGGGGATGTAGATAGTTCATAGCGTTTCCGTATTTCCCTCAGCGCCACTGTTCTTTTTTTTTAGTACCTTGTAGAGCAGTCTCGTCGAAATTCTCCGTTTTTCGGTAATCAAATGCATACATCTGTCACCTCCTACACTTGCTCATGAGAGGGACTGTCACCTCCTTCCTTTGCATTGTGACTTTACTGGTGTTCTATGATACCAGGTCCCTCCCGTTACACCGACGCCCATCCGAGTGGTGTTGGTGGGTTAACATCTACCCTTTTGTTACACCGATGCCCATTCTGTAGTCTTTTCCTTTTGCTCATATGTGGTTAACTTTGACGATTTTCACTCGGTATTCATTCGAGATTTGATATTGTTGGTAATTAACTGTGGTATCTGCAACACTTATCCGGGAGATCTGATCAGAAAACTCTGATCAGTATTGAATCTAAAGCTGATTTAGACCTAGAAGACTGCGCGAAATTTCCACTCATGTAGTCGCCAAATTAATGAGAATTAGCAAACTAATTGCTTATCAGCACTTCTGAAAAGGGGAAAATTCAAAAGAAAGAGCCAACGGCACGTGGTGTTCCCAAGCGGTCACCCATCCAAGTACTAACCACGCTCAATGCTGCTTAGCTTCAGTGATCGGACGAGAACTGGCGTTTTCAGCGTGATATGGTCGTTGGCTGAAATTTAGTTGAAAAAAATTTTGAATATAGCCTAAGAATGGGTGACCTAATTGAAAGTAGATGGGTCCAACTAAATACCGTTGAAAATAATGTAAATTTCATTAAGTGAAATCCGGAGATACGACAGCGACTTTGGCCGACTGAATACCAAACAGTATTTACTACACTCCTATGTATGGAGAAAAAGAGCTCCATAACCTTCAACTCAAAAAACTTCATGAACTCGTCGATCCCGCAACCAAATTTTCCATTTGTCAAAAATGACAAGGAATGATCAATTAGTTGCAAAGTAAATGAAAATTTGAAAAATCTGATTGTTTATCAGTGAAAGATTCAAAAGGAAGAGCCAACGGCACGTGGTGTTCCCAAGCGGTCACCCATCCAAGTACTAACCACGCTCAACGCTGCTTAGCTTCAGTGATCGGACGAGAACTGGCGAGTTCAGCGTGATATGGTCGTTGGCTGAAATTCTGTTCAAAAAAATTTCGAATATAGCCTAAGAATTCGTGATCCAATTAAAAATAGAGGTAAAGAACTAAAGGCCATTGAAAGTACTGTAAATTTAATGAAGTAAAATCAGGAGTAACTGCAGTGTCTTTGGCCGAGT